TAACAATCTTATTACTAATATTTACTTATTCGCTCGACGTTAACGTATACCATATACATAATAAACGAAAAACCCAGGGATAATGGAATNTTACTAATATTTACTTATTCGCTCGACGTTAACATATACCATATACATAATAAACGAAAAACCCAGGGATAATGGAATACTTATAAAAGTTAAAAATTCAAATTGCTGCTGTAGAGAGAACGGTATTTAGCAAAGCAAGGAACAATATATAATGGCGCTTTGTACGTCGAACACCAATACCGTGATTCTTTTCTAATTTTATTGTTATAACTTTGGCGGTTCGTGGTAAATGAGAACGTGCGATATTTATTCTGCTTTTAGTATTACTAGAATGAAAACTAAAATGAGTTAAGCAACGTTCTAAAACAAAAGAAATATATAAACAGGCAATTTTATTCAACTGTTACAACGGTCGTGGATAATACTTCTTTTTTGGTGGAATAAGATAAACATTGTGTTTACGGAATAATTATACCTGCTATAAAATATTCAGTATTGTCGGTCAATGAGTATGCAAAATATCTAATAAAAATGACATCACTATGTTCAATATACAAAGTTGTGCAAATTTACAATTGAATTACTCAAGGAATTATAATTAGAAAGTAATCGAATTAATTCAGCTCTCCATTCACTTAAATTACAATGGAATTTATACTTGCAATCGGAGTACAAGTACGAAATACTAATTTGGCGGTTATATGACGTCATGTTAGGGAGACAGGGAAGAGAGGGGGAAACGTTTCGTCCGGGACCCGCTAGAGGACTAGGAAGACAGATGTTTTACTTTGCTAGCCTCCGCGCTCAGGTAGCGGGTGAGCAGTGGCGAGCGATGCGACGCCACATAACAACGTAAACAACTTCGTGCAGGATTGGCCTCAAAATATTCTGAACATCTTGAAATTTGAGAACATGTTTTTGTTTTCCTTAAAATTACAATTTAAATAGCCAACGGTCGCTACTTCTTACGCACGACGAGTATACTCGTCGTGTCACAAAATGTTGCCATTTCTCCATGACGAGTATACTCGTCGAACACAGCTAACT